CCCCAAAACCCCAAAACCCCAAAACCCCAAAACCCCATTTTGTGTTGCGCAATTTAACCAATTGTATTATGGAATAAAGATTATGATTCGTTAGTCTGAGCTGGTTGTTCTGTCGTCTCACCAGCACCATCTGCATTCTCTTGATCTCCTCCATCATTAGCATTAGCATCAGTAGCTTCAGCTGGAGTTTCTTTTGGTTCCTCTGCAACAGGGGCTACATCTGAGAAGCTGAGAGTATCGAACTTCATGTCTTCATACTTAAATCCATGCTTGGATAGATAATCGGTTCCTTTCTTTGCAATAAGTTTCCATTCATCTTCTTTCAATGGATATTTTTCTTTAAGTCCTTTTACTCCTATCCAAGTGTACATGATCTGAAGCTGATCTTCTTCTTTTTCGAACTTGTTTTTAATTGGATCTGTGATAAGTGGCTTAAGATCTTCAACAGTAAAAGTGACAAGTTCCATCACAGATTCGGTCCAGAATCCTTCACTATTCTGAATATCAATGAAGTCTTTATAATTTGGATAACTGTATTCCAGAACAGATCCTTCTTTTATCTCAGCAGTTCTTAGAGTGGTGTTGTCATCTTTTTCTAATGGCTTGTTCTCATAGAAGAGTTTGATCTTTTTATCTCTCAATCCGAGATTTCTAGCGATCCTCATTTTAATGTCATAAAGCTTTGAAGTATCAAAGTTAACTTCGATAGTTGTCTGGAATCCTGTGACTGTGTTTCTAAGGTTGAGGCCTCCTCCACCTCTTAGTCTTAACACCAAGTGAATAACCGAGCCAGCGGTGATGTAGTACTCACTAAGAGTAATTCCATCTTCAAGTTGCTTTCCTGCAAATATGAGTCTTTGTTGATCAAGCGGGATACCCTCAGAATCCATTATCATTTTCTTCAAATCTTCGATTGTATCAGAAGAAAGAACTTCTAACTCTAGTGATTTTCCTGTCAGAGTCTTAACCTCAATGCTAATTTTCTGATTAGCGAACTGAGACTCAACCTTCTTGTAGATGGTTTGATTAAACTTGTTTACAAATCTTTCAGCAGCGAAGAACGAAGTGTAGTCACAAGGAACTTGATATTTTACAGAGTTCTTGATAGCGTGATCTCTTTGACCCATTCTGCAAAGATCTTCGATATGCTTCTTAGCAATAATTTTGAAAATAGAATCTCCTTCGAGGATTTTCAAGTTTTCAACAAGATCTACCTCAACATGGCCTTGCTCTTTGTTGTCTGATCTCGTGAACTGGAAGTCAAGGTTTCCTTCTAGCCAATCACTGTTGCATTCATTTACAAGGGTGTAGTAAGTAAAGTAATCTCCGTGGTAAAGTTTGTTTGGCATTTCATCAAATTCTGGAATCTGTAAAAATCTTTTCCCATTTACATAAAGGAACTGATTGTCAAATGCCATGCTCGGCTCGAAAGCTTTGCACAAAGCATCAATAACTTTTCTTTGAAGGCCTTCGGCTTTATCATTGACAAAGTAGTGCTTTCCTCTTCCAGCTTTGGCACATTCAGTGATGAGGTTTGTGCTGACACCACTTCCAATACCAAATGTATGAACGGTGAACTTCTTGTTGTTGCTCTTGATGAGATTAACCACATCTTCTGGATTAAAAACTTGTCCATCAGTGATAAGATACACATGCTTATCAAAATCTTCTCTTTGCTCCTCATCTGCAAAGATGAAATGGAGAGGATCAAAGATTTCAGTTCCTCCAAGATCTGCTTCAAACTCTCAAATGTGGTCAATAGCATACTCGAGATTTGTTTGGTCATAAGTAGCCACTCCTTCAAAGAGAAGTTCATATGAACTTCCAAAGGATACAACATTGAAGATTGATCCTGGTGGGATGGATCTAATAAATAATTTCAGAGCTTCTTTAGCCGTAGCCATTGGATCCCCAGTCATAGAGTAACTTCTGTCGAGAACGAAGTAAAACTCTCCAGGAATTAAATTACTGTCCAAATTCTGTTCATAGCGGACACTACTATCCATGTCAGGAAGATTTTGGAGTGCCATTTTTCTCTGTTGAACTTCAGCCTCCGGAGAAAGATCTGCAAGGAAAGATACCATTAAGGCATATTCATTCTTTAGCTTCTGGAGGAGTACCATTGGCTTGTTAATTTCTTCATTTCTAAACAAAAGCTTGAAATCTTCTTCAAAAACACTGTCTTCTCCGAGATTTTTCAAATAGATCTTAACGCTAGATTGTTTATCATCCAAGAATTCGCATTCTATCTCATGGGTGGTACTGATAATTCTCTCGACTGGTGAAGAAGAATCTACCTCCATACTTAGAGACCAAGTAAAGTCTTGCTCTTGGTAGTAAGCTCTGAATGCTTCTTCTACATCTTCAAGATGCTGCTGGTAGTCAACTTTTGGCTTATCTGCAGGTTCACTTCCCTGCAATTGGTGACCAGTCTTAATGTAGTTAAAGAAATTCCCCATGTATCTTGGGACGATCTTAGAAGGAATGTGCAAACTCCAGCTCAAATCATCAACTTCAAGAAGCTGGTAGAAGGTACAGGTCAAGACAATCTGAGATTTTGGAGGAATACCTCCAATATTCATCCTGATAATATCTCTATCCTTCCTTGAAGGATGAGAAATTACAGCTGTTTTACCTTGAGCAACAGCATCTTCGTACTTAACCTTAGCAGTTTCTCTGATTTCAATTCTTGAGTTAATAATCTTATCTTTAATTCTGACTTCGAGGCCTCCAAAAACAGCTTGACAATGAGCTGGGAAGCAGTATTCTGCTTCAATTGGCTCTTCACTATGATTAAAATAGAATTGTTCATATTTAATCTCAGCCATATTATTATGCACCTTCACGTCCGAGTTTAAGTGGTACAAAGGAATCTGGTCCTTTGATTCATAATTCAGAAGGAACTTGTTGTATTTCTCAGTAGGGAATGTAAAAGTATCAAGGAACTCCATTTCTGATATTTTCTTAAATTAAATATATCTTTTAGGCTAACATAAATAGTGCATGTTCGGTCGAGAAGGGGTTTTGGGGTTTTGGGGTTTTGGGGTTTTGGGG